GGGAATAAGCTCACTTTATTTTTACCATATCACGCCTGCCCAAAGACGAGACACAACTGTTTCGAAACAAAAGGTCAGGAACTGATTTTATATTTTTGAAAAACCAATGCTATACATATCTACGTGTATATATTACTAGCTTTTAAGCTAGCTCCTGTGGAAGACTCTTGGTTTGGCCATCATCACAATATCTAGGGAGGAATATATACGATAGACATCAATAAACTACAGAAGAACTCAAAATTGATCGCTGCATTTAAGTATTGAATTAATGTTTAAGCTTACCTTTTAAAAGTTCAACGATAATTCTTCTGCTGTCACTTAATTTTAAGACGATTTGATGTACGTAGATCCTTATTTTCCGTACAAACAATTATATTTATTTCATGGGTGACAGAACAGGAGACAATTTATAAGATAAAATTAATATAGTGTAAAGATGGGAAAATAGAAATTAGAATTGAAGAGTTAGAGAAACATAATAGCTAATTAAGTAAAACTTATATTATGGAATATAATATATTAATATATATTTTTAACATTGCATAATCTGGCAACCCTAAATTTGTGCTCAGCGAAAATCGTCCCCTGTGCCTGTCTGTTCTAGGGCTTTTGAATGAGCTATGAATCATTGAAATCGGACTAGTGGGAGTGAAGGAGTTTCTTGGATACACACACGCACAAACACACACACACTGTACTTTATAAGATATATATTTATAAATATAAACGTTATTTTTATTTTTAGTATCCACTAAAAAAAAAAAGTTCATAATATATATATATATATATATGTGTGTGTGTGTGTGTGTGTATATATATATATGTGTGTGTGTGTGTGTATATATCATTGAAGACGACAGACAAGGTGCTTTTATTTATTTTTTTATACAATTTCTCATGCAATCTAATAATTTTCTTCTTTTCGGATGATAAATTATATAAAAACTGTCCGAATGTTCTTTTTATCTGAGCGCTTTCGGCTATACATTTAGCCATTTTCCAGGATTATATTTTAACTATCAAAATAAGAAATAGTTTGTTGTATGTATGTTTTATAAAATGTTTTTATATAATTTATCATCCGAAAAGAAAAACATTAGTAGATCGCATGAGAAATTGTATAAAAAACCAAATAAAAGCACCGTGTCTGTCGTTTTCAATGAAATGTGCATGAAAGAAGGATTGCTGCCTAAACACACACACACACACACACACACACACACATATATATATATATATATATGATATAAGATTTGTTAAAGACCCCCGAAAAATCATTGTTAAGAATTTTTTTTTTTTTTAAGTTTTATATTTCGGACCATTTTATTGGTTTCCAATGACAATTTGAATATAAATTCTATGATATCTGAGCACTTTCGGCTTCCATAAAACATTATTAAAGAATTTTTGCTGTTAATGTTGTGACTATATGTCTACATAGTGCTTTATGTGCTTTGTCAATTTAATCTTTTTTTCAAATATCGAGTTGTCATGTCAGTTTTTCTTTTAACGTATCGCATTTTCACGTCTCAGCTCAGAATGAGAAATCGCATAGCTGTTTGAATTCCAGTTGGGTTCGTTACATTCACTTATGCGCAAATACCATTGGGAAAAGTATGAATCCATCTTCTACTCCCAGCTATGGGTTAAATAGTAGGACGCATATTTGGAAAAATTATTATTTTAAAATAATTGTTGATGCAATATTCATTCGTAAAAAAATAGTTAAATCCTAACTATGTTTCGGCATTAAATAATCCAGAAGGATTTTATGAATTGTAAAAAAATAAAAAACAAAAAACAAACCAATCAAAACTTCATTCAAATGTCAGTTTATGCTGTGTGGTGTATAGTATAGTATAGTATATATATATATATATATATATATATATATATATATATATATATATTACTTTAAAAATATGATTCCAACGCTACATAAGAGTTTTAATTCAATTTTAATTCAAATAATTATATTGAAGTTTTCGGCTCTTGTTTTGAAACATGAGAACTCTTATGTAGTGTTGGAATCATATTTTTAAAGTAATAATTATATTTATGCTCTACTTTTGTATCGAGTACTATTTTTTAAAAATAATAACAAAAATACTAAAGAACTTTGTATTATTTACCTGACGAGTTCTTTCCTATTTTCTATATATTTTTACACACACACACACACACACACACACACACACACACACACACACACACACACATATATATATATATTAGTGAATATGCATAATATCCAGTCTCCACACCTGAATGATGCATTAACTGCATGAAAATCCGAGTCGTGTTATTGAGGAATAAATATATTTACGTACGTGCAAATATTTGTGCGTGTTTATCCTACCCATTCCTCTCTCTGAATATGTGTGTGTGTGTGTGTGTGTGTGCATTATGTCAAGTTTTATTACGTAAATTAATGTTTACACAACAAAATTGATCTTAACCAACCATTTTTGATAAAATTTAAAAGATATATTATAAATAAACCGTGTGCGAATTCCCCTTTATTATACTTGTTTTCATCAGTCAACTTTATTGTGAAAACATTGACTTGAATGATAAAATATGACAAGTACACGTCTGATTGTTCTTGGGGTCGTAGTTAACAAGTCAAACCATTTCTTCTCGAAGAAATGCCAACGCTTACATCGAGGACGTAGATAGAGTGGTCGGGCTATGGATCGAGAGGTCGCTGTACATACCCTCTCTTCTTCCTCCTACATGGCGCACATGACTCAGTGGTGGTTTACCGAGAATATTCACTACTATCATGTCGCCTGTTACATGTAGCTTTCTAGCTTTTCAAATTTGTCATGACTTGTACGTCCGACCAAGAGATAGACAGGCAAATAACGTATACATTAGGTCACCGTTCTGTACCATTCTGATGTTTGAATATGGAATGAATTAACTTAGAACGACCAAATTAAAAAACGAAAATAAATTTAACAATTTTATTTGATCTTTTATCTTAATTTAGTAAGACAGCTGTCGCTCTAAATTTTAAAATCTATCACCGATTTGATTATTTCTTTTCAACAAATGATTAATTTCACATGAGCTATTAATTTTATAGAAGGTAAATAAAATAGAAAAAAAGAATCGGACTATTAATATATATATATATATATATATATATATATATATATATATATATATATATATATATAACGACTAAGTAGTGAGATCATTCCTCATCGGGTGCCCTATACTTTCGGCCTTGTGCAACATCTAAGCTATGCTTAGTAAATCGGCATATATAAACCGTCAGCAAATATTACTACGGCTATGTTCTCAAGATCCTCGTTGTTTCACAATATGTGGAATTGTATGCAGGTCACTAGTGGGATTGAAGTGATACATACGACACAAACATAAAAACTGAATGAAATTGTCACATCGTCATGTATCGAAATCGACGGGGAGTCCATCATATATATATATATATATATATATATATATATATATATATATATATATATATAAACGACAATAGGAAACTGTAGTAGTTTCCGACGCGTTTCGTCCAAATGGACTTTCTCAAAGCAAAAATCGAAATGAATTTATTTAAACAAAGTAACTAATAATAATAAAAACAAAATGCCCTTAGCAACTGGAAGAATTTAGAGAACGCTATTTTCATGCTGTTAACTGAAAATTGCGTCAATTACTGTCACGTGTGGAGATATTGTTTTTATTGCTGTGTTGATGGATACAACCATTTTCTTTTGATTTCACGATATTGTTGTGTACGTTTGTTTGTGAGTGTAGTAATTCTGTTAAGAAAGGTGAAATAGGGAAAAAGCCTGGCCGTAGATAATATTTGGGTAATATTCAATGGCAGCACTCTCTAGAATTTTCCTTCTGAGTGATTTATTTTCTTTTTTTATGAGTGTAGCATTTTTAAAATCAAAATTAATTATTGACACAGAAAATGGAATCAGCAAGTCGAGTTCAAATTCATCTTAGTCTGTTCCGTTCACTTCTGCACAAATCTTTTTGGCATTAATCCATTTTTTCTCCCATAAATAGCAGGGAAGACTGTTCTCTAGCTTTAGGTGGTGAGAAGGACTATTCTGAATTCAAAACTGTAGAGAAGGCAACTCCACTATTTTCCTATGCAATCAGAGTAATTCACCCGTGGAATTACCACTATTGCATCGCTAAATATTTAAGCTTAACAACTTTAACCAAATATAAGTATGAAAAGATTTAAGATTGACAAGTTTTTTTCCATTTTTCTCTCCTAATTCCTGTTTTGCGAATCATTTGGACAAGCTCGTTAGGTAGGTTATGTGCTGCTTTCCCCCGTCCCTCTTGCCTTCAATATGTGCCCCCCACGTCAATGTCAAATTTTCTAAGACCTCTTTCCTTATTATGTGTCTTATTACTGAATCGCCAGCTTCTTGATAGTTACGTACTTTGCCATTGGTCGGTAATCGAGTCTTAGGCAAAAGTCAAAGTTTCAAATCCCGAAGGCAGCTCTTCTCCACTGTGAAGATGAGCGCTACACATTCTTTCTGCTCGTTATTTCCTAACTCTGTCTTGTTTGTATCCCATTTGGACACCTGCCGTAATTAGTGAGTTTGTACAATAGTGTAGTGTAGTGAATTTAGTCCTTTTGTCGTCGACCTGTGTCAGACTGTGTTAAATATAGTAAACATCTCCAAAGTCGCATTTCTAGGTTGATTATTAGTAATTTAATCTTGCAGTGAGTTCAATTCTCATTGTATGCTCCACGAGTGTCAGGTAAAGCTAGGCTTAATACTACATTTTATAGTCATTTACATTTTTCAAATGTTCTAGTTAAATTAGGCTCAATCTAATGGAAAACACAGCCCGAACCACAATGTATAGAGACTGTAAAATGCATACAGTAACTTTCATCATTAAAACAATGAATTTTAAATTTTGGCAGTTATTTGACAATGAATAAAATCTCACTGATATACTAAAATAATCGAGGCTTACAGCCACATAAAATTGAAGCACCAGTTCCCGTACAATAATCGAAGTTAAGCAACGTCGACTCTGGTCCGTACTTAGATGGGTGACAGCTTGGAAATACCGGGTGCTGTAAGCTTGAACGGGTCGTGTAATGGACAATGACTCGGAATTGTTAATCGGAGAGCCAAGTTCCAATTCCCATTGGGTTCGTTATATTCACTTACGCGTAAATAACCCTAGATAAGGTATGAATCTACCCCTTTCTCCCCCAGTTATGGGTTAATTAGTAAGACTTGTATCACTAAACCATTATTGTCTCAAAAAATCTTACAATGTAAAAATATTTTCTGGCTTTAATTAACCTGTAGAAAACGAATCGATCAATCAATTAAATAATCGAAAACTATCAGTTCAAAAGATCTTTTACGTCGAATATGTCAATCTATGTGTTTTCCTCACGAGTGGAAACAAAAGTATTTTATGTGTCCCATTAATTTCAGTGACCAATATTGTTTATCACAAAATTACAAAAATATGATGGAGAATTGTCTCGCAATTATTAATGAATTTTGTCTATTTTGGGTTAATCGGAATTAATTTTTTTAAGTATTATATTTTATTGCAGCTTCTCTCCTTCTAGCGTTAATAAAAAGTAAATACTTTAAATATTACGATAATTGAACAATTTCAGATTATTTCCTCGTCTTTTACCATAGATTTGTTTCAGTCGGCAGCAAAGCACATTCAGACTATCATTTTAGTGTTCTTGAGGTCCTGTTTATTAAATCCAAGTTATCTTCCCCTGTAATCGGAAGAAATGGTTGTTAGGTCTTTGTTTTACAGAAGAATACTAACAATTCCATGGACGGAGCGAGTCAGGAAGTGTTAAAGAAAATGGCAACAAAGAGAACACTTATACTCAGAATCAGGAAAAGACAGCTGAAATTCCTTGGACACATAATAAAGGAGGGCTTGTAAAACTTAACATTTACAAGGCATATTGAGGGCAAGAGAGATAAGAGAAGGCAGCGAGCTATTTATCTGACTAGCTTGGGTAAATGGATGGCGGAACAGAGAGAGGGCTTAGCAAAGGGAGAACAACTCAGAGTCAAACAAGATAGAAATTTATGGAGAGCCATGATCGTCTATTTCCTGAAGGGACAAAGCACATAGAAGAAGTCTGTAATCCATGTTACTGTCTCTCTAACAATGTAGGTAGGAGGAATGATTTTATTTTTTTATTTTAATGCAAAAAAAATGTTTAAATTAATTTTAAAAATAATCTGAAATTGTTATATTATCGTAATATTTATGCTAGAAAGAAAGACGCAACGAGATTATTGCAGTACTTCTAAAATCTGCTTCAGCTCTCTGTACTCCTAAAATCTGCACCTGAACTCTGAAATGTTATTCACTAATTATTTTATTTTACTTTATTTTTTATCTCCTACACCAATAGGAGTAGATAGGTTCGCATATTTCCGGTTCATATTCCTCCCCAGTCAAATAGGAGTAAAAGTTGATCCTTTGCTTACTGATTAGGATTGGGTTTCCGGTTCCTTCTGAAGTCTACTTCGACTTTATTCTCTTAACGCTTGTCTTTACTTACGCTAATACAGTAACCCTCTACCCTGAGTAGCTCTTGGGACTCGCATTAGGTGAACATTAGTAAAAAATAAAAAAAATGTGATATGATATTTAGTATGGCAAACTCTATACATCTGATACAAATTTTAAACATTTATTTAGAAAAAAAAAATAAGACTATCAACTCAAATCCGGCGTCCATTGTATTTTTCCAAGAAAATCTTTAAAAATTTGTACGCATTGTCATGACAAGTTATTAATGACCACGAAAATAACAGACTTTCATTTTGTACAGGAATTAAATTTAAGTCTTTTTAATAAAATTATGACGTATGCCTAAAAGCGTCGAACATTATGTATTATTCAGTTTACGTTTATCGGTTGCCTGATCAAACAAAGATTTTCGATTTTAAATTTTAATTTATTTAAAAATGAAATTTAGACTAAAACTTACCCCGATAGGTAGTTTTAGTTTTGCTTATCAAATTTTCAAGTCTGAGCCTTATTTCATGTTTAAAATATAAACCCTACTGAAATTTCAATTATTTTCCGTAAGTTGTAGTGGCGGCAAGTTTGAATAATAAAAAAAAACATCTAAGTTTTGCTTTATGTTTAAAATGTTTATTTTCAGACAAATCTGAGCCTTGTTATGTTTATAAATCATTGATTGATTTGTCTTTTAGGTAGACTTTCTTGGCGGAATCCATCCATTTCCAGGTCAGATCACAGCCGATAGAGCCTCCTATTTATTTAGCCTCCTCCCGCTTTAGAGGTCTCGGACACGTGGCCGTTGATGCAATAATAAATGATAAAAATTTGGCCTTCGTATTCGATAGTTGGTTGATTTTGTTTAGCGGAATATCAAACTCTATGGATTATTTAATGCCGAAATCTAAATATTTTGGACACCATTTTCATTATATATATATATATATATATATATATATATATATATATATATATATATAATTTTCTAAATAAATGTTTAAAATAAAATGAGACTTTCCACCAGTCTAAAGCTATTTTGAGATTATTTGGGAAATCGTATGTTATCCTAGGCACCCTTAACATAATTTAATATAAGTCTACCATGCATTGAATATTGCTGCCACATCTGATATTGTGCTTTTGCAATGTATTTAGAGATTCTTGATAATATATAAATAAGAATCTGCAATGTTATTGGTCCTGACATTGCATCTCGACTTCAGTCACTGTGCCTTTTCTACAAATCTTTTCATGGTAATTGTTCTGATGAACTTTCCTTTTTTGTTGTTATTTTTATTTCCCACCCCCACAGACAAATTGTACATATAGGAACTATTTAGGACTTCATAGAGACTGTGTGGTATTATGGTGGCTGTAGTAAGAATGTGTTGTTTTGGTGTCAGGAATACTGTGGTATGTTTGGGTCAGTAATTGTGGCTAGCTAAGTTTAAGATAAGACAGATTGAAGATCAATCTTCTCCTATCCACCCCCTTTTAATCTTGTGTCACATTTTTGTATTATCAAAATAAATGTTATTTTTTTTTTTTGGTACCTAGACTTTATGGCTATAAGCGCAGTACTAGATTGACGCAATGTTTCATTATTTGTAAAATGCTGAAATTGTTAGATGTAACCGTAAGTTCTATGCTAACAGTTTCTTCTCTCGCGCTTCTCACTTTTGGAACTCTTCTTGCTTTCCGGTCAACTTTGATCTTCAAAAATTTTAATATAATGTCAATCGTTGTCTTTTGTCTTCTTAATTCTTGTTCTTTTATTATCTTCTCTCTTTAATAATGTTTTGCTTTTTATCGTATTCTCTCACACTCATTAACTCCTTGCATCTTAGTGACTTTATTACCTTGCTTGAGTTGAAGCGATTAAAAGAAAATTAATAATTTCTTGATCCAAAATCAAAGATCGGTCTTCATACGTGATCAACTTATGCACAACCTATTGTTAACCATTTCCTTGTTCTAGATTAGAAGACAAAAGCTATTGTAGAGGTATGCCATGTAATTTATTAATGTACTAGCATAGTACCCGTAAAAAACAAAGGATTATTTACACATAGGTTAGTACTTCTACCAAGAATCAGAGTATCAGGAAATCGAGACCCCAAAAGTTCTAATTTCTATTTACAGTGGGTTGATTTCACTAGACTGAACCTCTTCATTTTACTTAAAGGTTATACCCGGATTTTGTAGCGTGAAAATTATACTGAAAATGTTTTTTTCATTTAATAAAATGTTTACTTATAATGAAGATGAACAGGTTAATAGTTAGCAATTACTTTCACTTAAGCCTCAGCTTTTATTATTTTGAGGGAAAAGTGTGTAATAGAAACAAAATATGTCATCGTTATCAGAGACATTTCAACTCGAAGGTAATCTGCGATTTCTCAGCTTCAGCATGGCTCCTCCATTTCGAGCATGCTTGTTTATGTTTCTTCAACACTCACAGAACCAACTTATAGTTTATACTGCAACTACGCTGAGACTAGTTACAATTCAAATATGTACCCTTCCAAGGCATCATATAATTTTCAGTTCAGAGTTTTCCTTCTTCTATATTGGTTGCCAATCACGACCAGAGATTTTAGTCTGTTCTGCTATTTAATCCGTAGCTGGAGAGAGGAGATGGATTCATACCTTTCCAAAGTGTATTTGCGCAAAAATGAATGTAACGAACTCGGTTAGTCGATTTCTCTTTCCGGGCCGCTACCATCACACCACCTTCACATCCACATTTCAACATATAAATGATAAATGATAAACTGTACAGATGGAGATAGTACATTCTGAAGTATTAACTATTAATCAACACAAATGCTTGCAAGTTTTCTTTGCATAATCCTTGCTATGGCTGAATAGTAGCCAGGACTACATACGGTTTTGAATATAGAGTTGTCAGTTACGGATAGAGAGTCCAGTTTCCACTGTTAGTTAAGCCATTGCTGATGCGAGAAGAGATGGTTTCATATCTTTTTTCATATCTTTTCCAAGGGTATTTGAGCCAAAGTGAATATAACGCTCTCGACCAGAATTCGAACCCGGCTCGCCGATTTCTCTTTTTACACATCCAGAATGTTTCAAATACTTTTTAAGTATTGCTGAATTTCTTTTTATTTAAAAAAAAACAAAACAAAACAAACTTTAAACACTCAAACATTGATGCATTGTAAATGCCTGGAACATTCATGGTACTTCATTTCTCCGCTCGTTAAGTAGGTTACTAGCTGCTTTCTTCTGTCCTTCCTGCCTTAAATATGTCCCGTGAGTGTCAGATTCTCCAAGCCCTCTTTCCTTATTATGTGCCCTGGAAATTCTAACTATTTCTTTCTGATTATAAATATATGCGTCCTTTTCATTTTTATTTTGTTTAAAACTTCCTCGTTACTCACATATTCAATCCAAGATCTTCTCAGCAACCTTCTGTAGAACCACTTTACCGCTGTAAAGGTTGAATAAGTCTGGCGAGAAGACACATCCTTGTTTTACGTTCCTTTCTATTTTTTTTTTAATTTACTGAATTAATTTTTTATCCGTATACAGACGGTTT